TATCTTTTTCTAAAAAACTAAAAGAAAAGATAAGGAAAGCTAATCGAAAGTGCACTTGACGATAATTGGTATGACCAAATTAGCATAACAAGGAAAGAAAAGTCTTTTATTAACATTTCTATTCAATTCAAGTATTTTGGGTGTGGGTGTGCGTTTGAATCTTCGCTTGGCTCACCCACACTCACTCCACATCCACACCCTCATTAATAATGTTGATAAAGAACTATGTATTAATATTTTGTCTTCATTTAATTATTTTTTTTGAATTAAATTTGGTGATTCCATTGTTGTTTTATGAACTAATTGTGAATCACAATAAGGAAATGTTGGATTTCGTCCAAAATAAACTAATGAACCATGTTGAAGAACAAATAGTGTTAAAACAAGTTTACCATTTAACCATACTTCACTAGGCGCTGTTTTTGTAACAATACTATTTTGATTATGAACTGTGCAATGATCACGATCAACACCAACACCATCAATCTATATTGAAGTTTTTTTTAATTAAAGAAAAAGAAAAAATTTATTTATATAAAAATATTGTTTTCCAATTCTAGCTTTTCCATCACGATCAACATATGTTGTATTTTAATGAATTTTAAATACACGATGTATTACAAGATCAGTACCATCTATACAAAAAAAAAGAAGTTTTTCTTCTTATTTATTAAAATGAAAAATTCTTTTTATTTTCTAATCATTTTTAATTTGAACTAACATCCTCACGATGATCATTTCTTGTATTGATGATGTTTGAATTGTATCTAAATTTGATTCTCGTGCACGAAGACATTTACGAACTTGAATATATTCTAGTCGACATTTAACAACTTTAAACATAATTAAACCTAAGAAAATAAATAAAAAAAATTTTGTTTAATCTGATTCATTTTTCGTGAATGATTTAAACAAATACTTAATGGACATTCTTTATCATGAAGAATAACTTCTTTTATTCTTTTATTATCCATTTGATCACGTGATGGAATAACAATCTTTAATAAAAAAAACCTATACGATTATCTTTACTTGAAAAAGACAATAATTTTGTCGATCTTCATGTTTTAATCCATATTTTTCAAGCATTTATTTAACAACCCATTCAGATGGATCTTTTGTTGATAAAAGAAATGTTCTCTATGGTATTCAAGGACTTAATGCATCACCAAATAGTTTCATAGAACCATCTTATAAAAAAACAAAAAAAAACAGCTCAGAGAAATTTTAATTAATATGAAAGAAATAAAATTGATTACTCCCTTTTCTACTAATTTTAATAACTTTTTGTTTTAAACGATCTTGTTCCCATTTCTGGATTTGATAATAAACGAGTAAATTTATGTATTTCTGGTTCTGATTTATATAATGATTCAACAATAGCTTTTGGAATTACTGTTGATGATTGAGCATCATTTTCATCAATAACATTTTTCAATATACATATATATTAATCTCAAAAAGCATCAATTTAATAGAATTTGAAAAAGTTCTTTTCTCTCGTTCTCTATACAGTTTCAAATATCCCATCGAATTACATATGAATATATATAGGCATGTACATTAAATAAATAAAAAGAAAGCGAAAACAAATATCTATATGATTGGACAAAACATTTTATTTCATTTATTAGACAAGGTGAAGCAAGACGGTTTTTTTCAAGGATATCATCTAACGGTTTCTTTTCTCGTTCTATTCAATTTTATTTTGCAAATATAACTGAGAGAAATTTAACCAGTAGAATTTTACAATATCACCAAAAAATAAACTCATTTTTAATTAAATTGTTGTTTTCAGGATTTAAAAATAAATGAATGACCTATTTGAATTTCATCTGCATGAAGAATGCTTTCTAATTGTTTCATTTCTATCATATTTAAACAGAAACAGATTACCAATAAAAGAAAATTCAGTAATTTGTATGATGTAGAGAGTTTTCTTTTCCTATATGTAGAGCATAGTTCTAAGGATATAGAAAAAGGAAATCCTATATTATTGAAAAAGGCAACAATAGTTTCAACTCCACAGATTTCTAAAAGATATCCATAGAGTTAGAATGTCAATTGTAAAGCTCAAAACTTTTCTATAGAAATATTAGAAATGAATAAGTGATAAGACCAGAAGAAAAGAAACAAGTAAGTGTCGACCAAAAGCAGAGCATTATTACAGATAAAGTCTCATCGATAGAAAATCCTATTATGGAAAGAAGAAAGAGAGGCATGCATAATGATTTTTTTCTATTCAATTGAATTAATAAAAGAAAAACAGAAACTAACTTCATCTTGTTTCTTATTTTTTTTTGATTCATGTTTTGATATATAAAATAAAAAAAGAAAAATTTTTTTTTGAAAATATTTTTCTTTTTAATATTAACTTTAGGTAATTTAACATTTTGAATAAACAAAATTGACCTTCTCTATGATCTTTTCTCCTAATAAAGTTCTACCCATAATGGTCGTTCATCCATTTCCAATTTGTTTCCTTCTACAAATATAAAACAAATTTTTTTTCATAATAATTAACAAATCCCCATTTGGATGAACTTCATCAATACAATAATCTTTTTCATTTGTTAATATTTCACATATCAGCTCTTAATTTTTCCATTAAAATTCTAATAACATCTAATGTTATTGTTGTACTTACTACATGAATGCATTTTCTTGTTACTTTATCTTCAGCATCTTGAAAATAAAATCTCATAACACCATAAAAAACCAAAACCTTGAAAAAAACAAGAAAAAAATTGTTTTAAGACAAACAAAAAGTTAATATAAGAAAATTTTTACTTGATTAGGTTCACTAATTATAAATAAATCGAGTTAAGTTGAATTCCTTTTATTAATAAGATTGAGTATTTTCGAACCAACTTTCGGCAATCCGTTCATTGTCATGTCATATCTAGAAATAGTACGTTAGTCTGACAGACGATAGGAAAGAAATACCATCCATATCCTTCCACTATAATCTCATTTGATAATAATAAAGAAAGAAAAGATCTTTGGTGGTTTAATAAACATGTCTATTGGAAAGTTCAACTGACGAACAATTCTTCCTATTGTCTCTATCTCTCATTCTCGTCCGAATGAACGAACGAAACAAGAGGTTGCTAGAAAATAATTATAATCGATCGGTTCAATAATATAAATTCAGGTTTCAATTACAATTAGAAACAATCCTTTCAAATATTGATTTCATTGTTTTTTAAAAGTGTCATTACCTAAAACTAAATATTTATTCTATTTGCATAAAAAATAAAATAAAAGATGTTTAATATTCTATTGTTCAATCTTCAAACAGTTTTATCAAATAGAAATTAGTCCTGTCCTGTCATTT